TATGTGTTTATTTATTTATTATATGAACATATATTATCATCACAATATTATCGCAACATATATATCACGTGTATATATATATTTATGTTTAGGACATTTATACTTGTGTGGTACATATATATGGGTGCGGTACACATGTTATTTTATATTACTTATTACTATGACTTTATTAGTATTTTATGTGTATATGCGTGCTAATTGAAAACTCGAGGGATTTGAGAACTTACCAGTGGAAGTCGTTTGTCTCCTCTGTAAAAGAAGAAGATTCCTCTACTGTTGAGCTACCCGACTCGATCCGAATTAATCGTCTGCCCGGGTTGGCAAATATTTCAGTCAATATGCTTCAGGCCGGATATTTTTGTAGTTGTTTTAACTAGCCCATATGTTTCATGTTAATTTTGGGCCATTTGATTTCAACGGGCCTAATTAACATTAGCAGGTCTATGGAGTAATTATATTGAGCCCGTTAATTCCTGTAAAAGCCGTCCACCGATCCTTCCCAATAATTCTTCTTAATTACATTAGCAGGTCTTGCGTTGGAGATCCCAACTTCGCACGATTTGAAGATTGGAGACGAAGAGGTCGGTCTCGGCGGCAAATTGGAGATATGGGAAAGCGGAGACAGCGTTTTGGGTGTAGTTGGCCGCGGCCGCGTCTGGGGTCAGATCTGATGGCCGCGGTTGCGATTGTTCGGGTTACGGGTGTCGGATCTGTGATGGTTTGGCGAGGTCGGCCGGCGACGTGATGTTGGCCCGGCTTCTGGCTGCAATTCTGAACCTCGCCGGTTGATGGGGGAGCGAGCTTGGACGGCGGCGGCGGGAGCTGCGGCGGCGAGGGGGAAGGTTCGGTCCGCCAGCTATGAGGTCGGCCCCGGTNGTCGGCGTCTGGGCCTGGGGTCGAGGACGGCAGCGGCTCGGCGGTTGAATCCGAGGTCGACATCCATGGAGTTTGTGGTGCGGCGAGGGCGGCTGTGTCGACGGTGGTGGTTGACCACGGCTTTGACTGGTCGGAGATGAAAGCGTGGCCGGCCCCGCACTTGTTCTGGCCGAGATTGAAGGCAGCAGGGTTAGTCGGAGAAGACAAGGTCGGCCCCGGCGACTAGACTGTGAGGTCGAGTTGGGACACGAATACTGTGTCGACGGTGGTGGTTTGTCCCCGGCTGCTGCTTTTCGAAGGTCGGGAGTGGCGATTTGGGTGTCTGGCCATTGCGAGATCGAGCTCGGCACCGGAATCTGAGGGCGACGGCTGCGGTTCGGCTTTGATGGACCAGGGCAGCGCTTCGCCGTCGGTGGAGCAGGGGCAGCGGCTCGGCTTCTGAGTTCGAAGATTGCAAAATCGGACCTGTCGATTTTCGGAGGTGCGTGATTGGTGTTCATCAATTTCGTGATATCGGAGATGGTTGTTGTGCAGCTCGGCCTCTGAGTCCGAGGACGGCAGCAGCGGCTCGGTGTCCCGTTTTGACGGCAGGGTCCACTCTCCGGTGGTAGCGGTTCGGCGCCGGGTCGGCACTTGCCGATGTCGAGGTCGGTGCTGGCTTGGTGTTTGTGGTGTGGTACCGGCCTGAAACTTGAGGTCGGAGGTCGGCACCGGAAAATTTTTGGTTTGTAGTTGAAATGGCTGGTTGAGGTAACGGTTTGAGATCGACGATGAAGATGCCGGGCTGCGATTTGAGGGCCCGGGTCGTGATTGAAATGCCCGGCAATTGTGAGGTAAGGAGAGGTAAGGTCGGCGCCGGCAGTCTTTATGTCAATGGCCGTGGGGTAGCAGTCCTTTGGGGGCGACGACGAGTGGTCGGCACTCATCGATTTCGTGAGATCGGCAATGGTTGTTGAGAACGGCCGACGTCGCGGTGAGCCCGGCCTCCGTGGTGTCGATGCAGGTCTCGGCTGCGGTTTCGAGACTCGTCGGCGGCCGAGGTAGTGAGTTCGGCTGCCGACGGTGTGCGAGCTCGGTGCCTGAAGCCTTAGTTGAAAGGCGAATCGGGCTTTTGGTGGCTAATTACAGGTATGGGTTGTTAAATTGGGCCCCGGCTACGGGTTAGAGTGACGGGAAGACGAGATCGGGCTTCGGTGGTCTAAATCTGAGGTCGGCGTCGGAAGGGAATTCCGGCTCAGTGGCCGTGGTGACTGCCCGGCGTTTGACATTTGTAGATATCGACGACCCTCGTGTGGTGCCGTCCTGAAGTTCAAGGTCGGAGATGTCGGGACCGGCACGTCGAGGTCGGCTCTGGTGGATGTTTTCAGCCCGTCGTCGGCGTGTGTGAAGTCGGCCAGCTTTGGGGTTGGCCCCGGCGATTGATAGCTCTGAAGTTCAAGCTCGACGTCGGGCTGCGGCTGTGATGTCGGGTCAGCCCGGTCTTAGGTGTTTCGGAGTCCGAGCTCGGCGTCGGGCCGCGGTTGTGGATTCGGGTCAGCCCGAACTTCGTCATGGAGTGGCGTTCAGTCAGTGTTCTGAGGTCTGAGAGCAGATCGAGGAGTTGTACGGGTTCGCGACATGCGGTTGTGAGGGTGATCCTAGCGGTGAGGTCGGCACCGGCGGTTGAGGCGGGGGTGTCGAGCTAGGCATCGACGGGGAGCCGTCCACAAATGGATTCTCAAATTGACTTTTCTNTCATCAAGTTACGAATGAGTCTTAATCTTAAGGAACAGAAATAACCGTACTTAACTTAGGAAAAGATTTATAGTGTATTTAAATTGGAAATAAATTGATGTACGGTATATAAATAATCCAACTCGTAATTATTTTTATACAAAAATGTTAATTTATGCACCACAACAAATAATAGGATCACTTTTTATATCCACTAGTGCGTGGCCCGTGCGATGCACGGGTAAACAATATTACGATTGTATTATAAATTAAATATATAAATAACATTGTTGATGTCGAAAATCGGACGATCAACCGTCGAATATAATTCGAATCTATATATGAAAAAACGAAGAACAAAATAGATGGAAATGAGTGTTTATTTCTTATGTTTTTGGGAAAAATGTGAAATTTGGAGAGAGCCATCCAACCGCCCCATGCCCTCTCTCTTATGTTCGTGGGAAGAAAGAAAGAAAAAGACGAATGATCAAGGGAGGAGAAAAGTCCGCCCCCTCCTCTCTCTTCTTCCTCCTATTTATATACATGTACTAAAAAGGTAAAATAGTACATTAGCATTCAATGTGAGGTGACACCCGAGGGCTCACTTATGTCTTTTGACGGCTTCGATTGACGTCTGCTTTATCGACAATTATTGTGTCGACCAGATACGGTTTTTGGGTGATCAGTCTCGGGAACGTGTTTGTATATTATTTATCGCGTATTTTCGGCTCCTCGATTATTAGACCGTATTTTATTATTTAATTTATTATTTATTTAATTGGAGCCAAATTAGGTATCAACAAACATTAATCATGATTTATCCATTGTATTTAAATTAAACCGGGTTGGACACAGTCCAACGGGATGGACCGAGAACCGATTTATAACCAGTTTAATTCGGTTGAATAAAATATTTGCTCTCGAATCCGTCACACTAGTCGGTTGGACTGCTAGGATCGATACGATTTTCTAAATAAATTTTGTTATATTTAAAACTATTTTAAATAAAATTACATATTTAAATAAAATAGAGATTTATAATTTATTTATCAATTAATTTAAACATTTGAATTTATAAATTATTTAGATATCTAAGTAACACATTTTATTTAAATTTATTACAAAAAGTACTATATATGTATATATATTAAAATGTTTATAAATTAAAATCTGAACAAACCACAAATGATTTAATAAAATAGCTTGATCGTTTCGATGACAGTCCAGTTCTGAAAACCTTATATTTACTGTACATTAATAAATATTATAATAAAATATTATGTAATTCACATAAATATTAATAAAATGATATATACATATTCATTAATCATTAAAGATGTTGTCATAAAATTATTGTTAATATGATTATTTAAAGTTTGGACTACATCACATTCACGTAATAAAATATTTTCAATATAAAATTTATATTTAGGTGCAATAATCGATTTGGTGTGGTCGAACTGGTACGTAACTTAGTCACCTTGAACCAACTAAGTTGTGTCAAATTTTTGACTATTTTAAATATCACCTAAAATTAATTCAATCAACCTGGACAATACCCTAATTCAATCACCCGATTGATTCAAAGAAATTTTTTTATTTTCTTTAAATATATTTAATTTTATGAAATAAAAATATTTTATTATGTTAATTTCTTGTGAACTTCATATTGATATATTGATTTTATTTTATTTCTATACAAATTTGATCATCTCATTTTATTTTTTACCATATTTGCGTGGAGATTTAAAAAGTCAATTTTTATTTATAAAATGATTTGGATATCAACATACAATTTATAATGGAGTTTCAAAATTGTGTACTATTAATATTATCATTAAATATTTTTTTAAATGCACAATTATTGAGATTGAGAATTTGAAAATTATTTTATCTTTTAAAACCGAGTATAGAAAAAATAACAGATTGGTAAACAAAGAATTGATAAACATTACCAAGTACACGTTCCAAATAAAAAAATTGTTATGATTAGTGAAAAATGATATATAAGAATACCATTCAATATTTTTTATGAAAAGCATAAATATAAAGACCGATATTCTAAAATTTTTATTACCTTTTGAAGTGAGATTTTATAAATATAGAGACTGAGATTTTAATGTTCTTTATTATTTCTATGAAAAAAATAAAAAATGCACACTTAATAGATCTTAGTTGAAATTTTTAAATAATAAAAGGAATTAAAGCCCGAAATTTAATGCAACATTTAATATTGTATAATTTTTTAAAGATAAAAATAAAAAAATAATAAAATTTACTATTTATAGGTTACATTAAATTCTCTCTATTATTTTTGTTAAATAGTAATTCTTATTTATATATATACATATAGATAGATTTTTTTTTTCTTCTAAATATCTTCCTCTTGCTTCAATTTTTATCTTCTCAACAATAAGCAATGGTTCCAACTGCTAAATCTACGGTATAATTCAAGAGATTCATTTTATCTTCTCAACGATAAAAGCAATGGGTCATACTGTTAAAACTCCGGCATAATTCAACAGATTCTATAGGCATAATTCAAGAGATTCGATATGCAAGCTGTCACAAACACTCCTTACCACCAAGCTTTCACTTTTCTGCACCCGCCAGCGCCATTTACCTCCGGCAACTGCTTTCTCCCGTTCACCGGCATCTCTATCGTCCGCCGCGAGCTCCGCGTACGCGCCGCCCCGATCAAAGAAGTCGGAGATTATCCCGAACCCGCTCTAACAGTATCCTCGCCGGAAAAGGCAAAAGCTTTCGACCTATCAAATGGGTCTACTGAAACGAAAACTGTTCCGGGCCACGACGTGGAAAACGGGCTCGGGCCTGATGTTGCCACTTTCACCTCACTCGTCAACTCTTTCTGCGAAAAGGGTCGAATTAAAGACGCACTTGAGGTGTTCGACGTAATGTCCCGCACAGGGTGCAGACCCACGATCAACACGTACAACTGCCTCCTGAAGGGGATCTGCTACGTGGGCCGAGTCGAGGAAGCTCTTGACTTGATCAAGAATATCAAGAAGTCATCCTTGAAGCCTGATATGTACACCTACACAGCCGTGATGGATGGGCTTTGTAAGGTGGGCCGGTCGAAAGAGGCAACAGATTTGTTAATTGAAGCCCTAGAAATGGAGTTAACGCCGAGCGTTGTCACTTACAACACTTTGTTCAATGGCTATTTCAAAGAGGGCCGGCCTTTATGTGGGTTCGGGCTTTTGCTGCGGATGAGGGAGAGGAACTGCAAGCCCGACTACATTATCTATAGCACGTTATTGCACGGATTGTTGAAATGGGGTAAAACTAAAGCCGCTCTTAGTGTTTACAAGGAAATGGTCGAGACGGGCTTTCGGGTGGACGAGAGGATGATGAACACTTTGTTGAGAGGCTTGTGCAGGCAAGCGAGGAAGAAGAAAGAGCGCCTTAAAGAAGCTTATCGTGTGTTTGAACACATGAGGAGTGGGAATTATGTCGTTTATGCTTGTACGTATGATTTGGTGGTCGAATCATTTTGCAACGGGAAAGAGTTGGATAGCGCTTTCGAGAATTTGAATGAGATGATTAGGGTTGGATATTCGCCCAAGACGTTCACCTTCAACTTTGTCATGTATGGTCTTTGTGGTGTAGGAGAGGTTGATAAGGCGTTGAGAGTTTTGATGCTAATGCACGTGAATAGGAAGCCTAACGGGATTCCTTTTGATTTCTTGATCAATGAGTTGAATCGACTAGGAAGGTCGTTGGATGCTTGTAATGTTTACGGTGTGGCTCTAAAAAGAGGGGTCGTACCCAAGAGTAAGCCTCAATATTTGGTTGTACAAGGGTCATCATAACATTTGTACATAAAAACATTTTATTTCTTGATCAATGAGTTGAATCGATTAGAAAGAGGGGTTGTAACCAAGAGTAAGCCTCAATAATTGGTTGTACAAGGGTCATTATCACATTTGTACATTAAAAGTTTTTGATTTCTTGATCAATGAGTTGAATCTTTGATATCTTGATCAATGAGTTGGACGACTAGGAAGGTTGATGGATGCTTGTAATGTTTACAGTGTGGCACTAAAAAGAGGGGTTGTACCCAAGAGTAAGCCTCAATATTTGACTGTACAAGGGTCATTATAACATTTGTACATTAAAATCTCATAAACTTTAGGTATTTCCGGGCGATTGGTGCAGCTGTGATAAACAATGCTAATATGCTACAAACATGATGTTGCGATTCAATCGGTTTCTCTCAACTTCATAGATTCAGAGAATAAGTTGGCAATGGCAAATTTGTTCCACTACGTACATCAAGTGTTCATCCATTACACACTTACATTGTAACAAAACATAAAATTTTTCAAATCTGATTCTCTCTTACATGGAGTAGCTATAAGAGCATTTTACACGGGATCTAATGGACAGTTCTCAGATAATAATGGTAAAGAAGATGCCGGGGTTTCAAGAACCATAAAACACTCCTAGAAAATGGTATAAAAGTAGGCTATACACGGCTCGTGTACTGCCCAGTTCTTGTATCCACCAAGATTTCATCGCCAATGTTTATGAACAATGGGACTGTAACAACAGCACCAGTTTCAAGTGTAGCAGGCTTAGATCCTCCTGCAACAGAGTAGAAAAAAATAATGATCATTGCAAATACGACAGAAATTAGCCAAAAACATATGATGCATTCAATGTGAGAGAATGTCCAACGATACCTTGAACTGTGTCACCCTTTATACCTGGATCAACTTGAACCACAGTCAATTTCACTATGTTGGGGAGTTCAAAATCAATGATCTAAAGCAAAGTCAAACAATTAGTAACTCCACTTTGTAATTGAAAAATCAATTTAACTACTAGAAGACAAGTTCGAGAAAATCAAACTTCAGAATAGCTTTGGAAAAACCGGTTCTCATTTGGAAATTAGAAAAAATATCCCGTATGATAGTAACCTTATCCTTCCAGAACAGCAAATTGCAGTCCATGCCTTCTTTCAGCCACATTGATTTATCTCCAACATCAGACTCGTTGAGACGATATTCTTCATAGGTAGTCTGGAATATATATTATATAGACTAGTTAAAGCCGTCAACTGTTTAAAACTTCAGCAGTAAACCACGTGCTCTTGTCAGAATCAAGATTGATAGATATATTAATGAGCATCAGGAGAGATACACTAATGGAACTAATACACAGCTAACTAATCACAAGATATAAGCAATTCGACATCATCGTGTGAATTTGAAAGGGCAATATCTTTTTACCAAGTCCATGAAAACATACTGAGCGCCATCCTTATAACTGAATTGCTTGGTTTCCTTTAATATGTCGGCCTCTTCAATCTATCAACAGTAGAATAAAAGAAAATATATAAGTGTATGGCTTGTGTACTGTATGACAAAGCTTATCCCATCCAATATCAAGTTCACTAAAGATTGGAAATGCAAGGATCGACTAATTCTTCATGAAAATCTGTTTGTACCCTCAAAAATAATCAAGAACAAGTATCTTCATATCTGGATACATGTCAACTAAGAATTCCATTTACTTATCAAACTTAAGCATACTTGTTATTATGGATGGTGAAAACTTCGTTTTCGAAGTGGCGCCCCAGCACGAGTGATCTGAATTCGTCAAATTGCATTCTAAACAGATACATAACACAAAGTAACTTAATCCAAATTCATGGCATGTTCCCAGGGCGTACATTAACAAATTTACCACACAGGCTAAACCAATTAACCAACTATAAATTTATGCCTTCTGTTTAGCTACTCATACAATACCTTGCTTCCAGCTCGGAAAGTCTTCTCAACTTGATTTCCAGTTACATAATTCCTCAACATTGTCCTGACAAACGCTGCCCCTTTCCCAGGTTTGACATGGAGGAACTCTGAACAATACCACAAATTTGTCAGCACAAACAAGTCCATAGCCCACATCACAATGTCACGTCGAGCACACGGACATAAGAGCACATTCAACTAAAAGCTCCGAGCTTTGAGGTGCTCGTTATAGCATCTCAGCCTTACGATTCCAATAATTCCTCAACACCGCAGTTCAGTCCACTCAAACATACACCTAAATCCAAATGAAATTCCCAAAAAAAAAATGGGGGAAAGAACAAGAAACACATAGTAAGAGTGCAAAGTTGAGAGGAAATACCAATAACCTTCCATGGGTTCCCGTCAACTTCAATGTTGAGGCCCACCTTTATATCATTGCTTGTTAAAGCGTCTATCTCTGCAACAAAAAAGGGCAGCCTAGTTCAAAAGCAAGCGCCCAATTGCTAATGGAGGCGAGCGGAAAAATCAACGACTTACTGTGGAAAGTTGAGGGTCGGGTTGTTGCAAATTTTAGCCGCGGGACTTGAAATGGGTTTGAACGTTGGGGAAGGGTGGAGAACGGTGGCCGGAAACACGGGCATTTGAAAGCGTAGATTCCCGCCATGGCCGGAATCGGAAGATTGATGAGATGCTCAGTTGAACACTAAGCTTGGATAAGGGCAAATCAAAATTTTTCTTATTCGTTCCTTTTTTTTTTTTAGGTGGTTTGGTTAGTGAAGAATGTGTGTAAGATGGAAAGGAAAGGTTGATGGGCCTTATGGATGGCTCGAGCTAGGCTTGTTCACGGTCCGGTTTTAACCAAAAAAAACCGTCAATTCGGACCGCGAATCGGTTAAATGGTCAGTTAAAAATTAAAAATCCGGAATAACCGGTCCGGTTAACGGATTACCTGCGGCAAGCCGCCGGTTTAACCGGACCGGACCAGTAAATATTAAAAAATTATAACAAATATATATATACATTCAGTCATTCATTATGGCCGACAAATACAATACATTACTTTCACTTTTTGGCCTTTTGTTGACTTAATTTTGTAAGACACTATAACTTTTCACTTTTCCCACCTTTTCTTCCTAATTTTTTGAGTTAACCCTAATTTTTCCCATCTTCCCACCCCTAGGCTTCTCAGTTCCCCGACCTTTTTTTGACTTATTTTTTCCTTCAATTTCATTATTGTTGTTTTTCTTAATTTTTAGGACTAAATAATCTCTTTTGGGCCCAAAATTGAAAAATAAAAATTAAGTCAAAATGAAAAAAAAAAATAAAAAAAATTGAAGACCCAAAACAAGAATGTTGGATTTAACCGGTTAACCGTCAAACCAGATCGTCCAATGCGGTTCGAATTGTGGCCAGTTAAAAAATAAAATCGGTCCGGTTATGGACAAGAAAAAAAATTAATTGTTAGATCCGATTTGGTCATAGTTTGAGCTAAAACCGGACCAATCTGAACTGTAAACACCCGTAACTCGAGCGACGTATGGCCCATAAATGATGGGCTTGCAGAAAATTGAGCCATTTAGTAAATTGGGCTGAATTGTGATTTTTTGAAGTACACCATTTATCTTTCATTTTTATTTTATTTTATTTTTATTTCAAAATATTATATTAATTTTTATTATCATTTTTTTCTTAATTTCATAAGTGGTATATTTTAAAGTTTATGAATGATTAATTTCAGGTGTAATTTTATCATTATTTCTAAATTGCATTTTTTTTAGTTTATGAATTATGCTTGTATAATTTTAGCGTGAATATCGTACTTTAAAAAAATAATATAGTAGACATGTAAAACAACCAATAAAAATAAAAATTATAAAACTCATGCTCCCAGCCGAGAGTATACTAGTCGAGCTCAAGTTCCTAATATTCGAGCTGGAGAACGAAATGTGTCGATAAACAAACTCAAGCTAGACTCGGCCGAGCTCCAGCCTTTAACAAGCTTTAGTCAAGCCTTAACGAACCAAGATATAAAAAATTAAATCAAATTTTATAGTTGTTAAATATCACTTGTGAGTTGTCCCACATCGTTTATATAGGAAAAATAGACCCAACTTATATGATTAATGTGCTATTCCTTCTTCCACCAATTGGTTTTAGGATGAAACCTCACTTGGGTTTCATCTGGACTTTCTCTGTTGGTCACTTAATGAACTTTAAATATGTCAAGCTCAAGCCATAGTAAACTAACTTGAACCTTAACGATGCATATTATCGAAAAGTACATTAAAAATATAGTTTCATTAACAACGTAAGAAAAAAACAAATCGTAGTTAGCATTTCATTTTCTCAAATTAGATACAACCCCAGAAGTCCAGAACTGTTATATCACTTATACAATGACGCGAGCATGACCGTTTGCCGACGCCAGGCCGCATTTGCTATCCCAATTCCCACAAATAAAAGTAGAAAACCAAACAAATAGAACTGACGTACGTAATCATTATTGCTTAGACATCAAACCAAAACAAAATTATTAAATTATCTATCTATCCTTACTTTATTTTTAGTGGCAATTCTGTAATTAATACTCATTGTATACTTTGTTTTTTAAAATCAAAATAGTGAATTTGTTCTTTTCATCCGTCGCCGTAAGCCGTAAAGGTCCTTCACCTTCCCCACGCGCCCACCGCAACACGCGCCTTCACCCTCAGAGATCTCGCCTTCGGCAACAGCACCGGAAGCCACTGCTTTGGCGAAGGCAGCTTCAACATTACTGGTCTTCAGGCAGAACACAACAGATTTCACCATTTCCATAGCAGAGGCGTCATCAGTGCGGTCAGAGACAACCATAACAGAAGTCCCAAGCTTGAGCTCGGCTGACAAAACGAGAGGGATCTCCTGCTCCGCCTTTCTCTTGGGATGATTCACCAGAGCCGAGGAAGGTACTCATCATGACTGATGAGAAAACAAAGCAGAAAGCCATAGAAGCAGCTGCAGATATTTTTGGCGCTTAACTAATTAATTTGATTCTTTTTAATAATTTCATTCAATGCCGTAACAAAAATAATTATTTTTATTTATTTATACAAAGTTTGGATTTGGTCTTTGATTTAAAAACATGGGTGGATTCAATTGCTGCTTATCTGAATACCCATAAGCTAACAGTTATTGGCGAGATGGATGTTGTTGCTGTTGTGAAGAAATTGAAGAAAGCTGGTAAAGTTGATATTTTATCAGTTGGTCCAGCAAGAGAGGAGAAAAATGAGGAAAAAAAGGAAGAGAAAAAGGAAGAAAAGAAAAAGGAGAAGAAAGAAGAGAAGAAAGAGGAAAAGAGAGGAGAAGAAGGAAGAGGAAAACTGGAAACGACACATTAAACATTTCTTTTATTATTTATTTTTTTTAATTTTGTGTTTTGGGATTTTCAATGTTTTATCTATCCTTGAATTCCCACTATGAGAGCAAGTGATATACAAACTATATGCTGTGATTCATTATGATATGAAAGTTCTCCTTTGAACTAACATAAAACATGAATAAGATAGCAGTGAATTGAATTAATTTCATACACCAAAGAGAAAATGATAATGTCTTTATTTAATTATTTAATTAATTTCGTTACTCATATTTCTAGCTATTACTACAATCATGTAATTTGAACAACTGATATATAGTAGATCATATAATTGTCATTAATTTAGCTATGTATGCATGTTTTTTATATTTTAAATAATTAATATGAGGAATAGTTATACGCAATTCTTTTTTTTTTTATTATTTAGTGTTTAATATGTAAGAAATGTAACTCAACTGATAAATTAATAAATAACCTTGAGATAAAAGAATGAGTAATTTCTAAAAAATATGCATGGACTAAAAAGTTTATGTGTTAATATATTTTCTATACAATATTTGTAAACACAATTAATTAAAAATAAAAATTACAACATAAAAATTTTAATGTTTAAGAAGGAATACAAAAAAAAATGTTATATTGCAATGAAAATCCAACGGTATGTTATTCTACTGAAAATTTCATATAGATATTTCATTGGTATAACTTTCATTGGAAAATTTCATTGGCTATTTCATCAAAGATCAAATTAAATTACATTGAAATTTTAGTGGATTTAAATATTCCAATTACCATCATTTGTTGTTGTGTGGATTTCCGTCGATTTCTTCTTTTACCGCCAACATATATAAAAATTTCAATGGAAGCTAAATTAGAAAACCAATTGCATTGGCGGATCCAAAATAATTTCATAATATGGACACTATTTAGTTAATTGAAAAAATATATTATCAAAATAACCTAATTCATACAATATATAAATTATACTTTCATAATTTATCATATTTCTCATTAGTAATACATTTTTATCATATTAATGTAGTCACAATAAGTTAAAAAAGTATTTAAGAAAAAAAATCATAATTGTTCTCAATTCAACATAAGAAAATCATTGAAATAATATACTTTTTAAAATTTTTATGACCAGAAAATTAATGTTGAAGTATAGTTGGCTCGACAATATAATTGATGAATTTATAAATTATAATATTTTATTATAATATTAATAAAATAATAATTATATATAATATAATATAAAGATATACAATTAATCGATTTATAATAAGACATATGACCCAAAATGTCTATACTTGATTTTATGCATTTTTACAAATATAAAAGTTTTACACACACACACACACATATATATTAAAAAAATATAATATTAAATATATAATTAATTCGTAACACTTACTAATAAATATGAAAAAGGTAGTAAATAAAAATTTTATAATTGATAAAAGTAAATATAAACTTTTGAAACTTGTACTTATCAATGTAAATGAGTTGAGTTGTTAAATGCTAATTAATTTTTTGTTCTTATTACATATATGTGTAAGTTTTAGGTGATAGACAAAAGTTATTTGTATTTTATTCCATGTATGTTAGAACTTTTACTTTTTATTTTTTTTAAGAAAAGAACTTGATTATTCTAATTTTTAACTTTTTATTTGCAATTAGTTTTGGAATATAATATGTAAATATCATATTACATATATTAAATAATAATTATTTTTATTATTTAATAATTAATATGTAAGAAATGTAACTCAACTGAGAAATTAATGAGTAATCTAAAGATAAAATAATGAGTGATTTCTAAAAAAAAATATGAACTAACAAAAACGACTACATAAAAATTTCAATGTTTATGAAGGAATAAAAAAAATTATTGTATTTCAATGAAAAATCTGAAGGCAGGTATTTCGCTGATAATTCCAACGGATATTTCATTGGTATAAATTTCATTGGCTATTCCTACAAATATCAAATTAAACTACATTACAATTTTAATGTTAATGATTCCAATTACCATTATTTGTTGTTGTGTGAATTTTCGTTTATTTTTGTTTCCGGACCTATTTCAACCGTTGACAAAACTGTCATTAGACTTGTAAAAAAATCAATGTAAGTTCCATTGAAAAACTATTTGCAGTAGCATATCCAAAATAATTTCATATTGGGGGAATATTTTGATAATAGAAAAAGTATACCATCAAAATAACATAATGTCATTACAATTTATAAATTATAATTTTCATAGTTTGTCATATTTCTCATTCGTAATATATTTTTAAGTTTTAACACAACAATACGGCCACAATAAGTTAAAAAATATTTGAGAAAAAAAGCATATTTTTTTTTTTCAATTCAACATAAGAAAATCAATAAAAATAATATATTTTTAAATTTTTTAGAACAAAATTTATATGTTCAGTACATCGTCCTGCTTATTACTGAACATACATCGTTAATTAAGCAGGACGATGTACTGAACATACAGCATTGCGTTCACACTATTCAAGCAGGACGATGTACTGAACATACAGCGTTGCGTTCACACTAGAGCAGGACGAGATACTGAACATACAGCGTTGCGTTCACACTAGGGGACGGTACCGTTATTAATTGAATTCAAGTGTGAACGCAACGCTGTATGTTATGTGCAGGACGAGGTTGAACATACAGCGTTGCGTTCACACTTGAATTGGTTAATTTGGACAATAAAAGTATTAAAAAAGTTACTAGACACATAAGTACTGCAAATTCGAACAAATGTGAAAGATATTATAATAAACAACGCTAAAATCATTGCAACAATCAGTCAATGATTTGCAAACAATAAATTACATATTTCGTTTGTCTTCCAAATAAATAACATTAGAAAAATATTGAAAAGCCTGCTCAAAACATTCTTAAATGTTTGAATGAAACTGAAGGGCTCCGTTTTATTTCTTGTTGTTTATGATGTTGTTGTTTTATTTGTTTTTGTGTTTGTGTTGTTTGTGTTGATGTGGTTTTTGTGTTTTTGGTTTGGGCCGTTGTCCCCGGTTCGGCCTGAGTGTAGCCATTATTCTCCTGTTGGGAGCTTACACTCAGGTATTACCATGTTGTGGTCCTTTATGTATTGTTTGTTGTGTTTCTAGGTTCGATTGATGTCGTAGTGTGCTCGTATTGCTAGCGTTGCTAGCTGGTATTCCGTCTAGGTTACATTGGTTGTGGGTGTAACCTCTCATTTTCCCCGGCTTCGGGCTCGTTCCTGTACATTGCCTTTTGGGCTTTTTTATGAGATATTTTATGCCGTTTGAAAAAAAAAATGTCCCCTTTTCTATATGAACATTTACAATCTCAATGTGTATTTTGTTCGAATATATGTGCACTTACTTTACAGTGTGTACTTTCATGTAATGTGATGATTTCAGAAAATAATTTAGCGTCTCGAGAAAAGTACATGTAACTAAGATTTTGGAAAGTCAACTTGTATCTAGAGATGAAATTCATTCCCACCCGGGAGACAATATAATGCCTCCATGGGGTAGGTACCAATTTGTCTATATAGACATAGTAATGAAGTAGTTTATACAATGATAAAAAAAATATCAACAATTCAATGATACAGTTAGTTATTTTACAAAGATATTTATGAACTGTTACTAGAAGTACCTTATTAAAATCATACAATCATGAAGTTTGACTATATGTTTGGCCAGAATATTTAAAAGTGTTTGAATAAAGTAGACGTTTTGCCAAATGAATTAAGAAAAATTTTGCAATACTTTTGATATACTAGGCTCCAACGAGTATGAATGTTTCTTATATACTAAGTTCATTTGTTTTATATTTTACTGTGTTCCTGCAATGATACATTTAATAAATTAATTAGTTTATTTTACTATATTTAATCGACAAGAAATATTTACCACCACGTGCATTGCACTTTACTAATAACTAGTACATAGCCCGTGCCATGCACGGGGTGCACAATTTTAAGGTTATTTATTCAGGTTTATAATTATATACATGAATAAAGAAAAATGTACGGGATATATACAGTACGTGACCCGAAGATATATTTATTTGGAGAATATTATATTATAAGATGCAATATTCAATAAAAGTTTATAATACGCAAGAAAATTGTATAATGTTCAATACAAGTTTTATAATATTCAAGTAGAGTCTTAAAGTCTCTTGTACATTAAGACTACTGACAAAATAGTATTTTAATCAATGAGTTTCTTTTTCTTGTAGCCAAATTGTGAATGTGATTTGAGGAGTACAACAAATCGATATATAGCTGACTTGCTTTTTTCATTGTATTTTTTTTTTCTTTTTTTTTTAATAATGAATTTAAAGATATTCTAAAATATAGCAAAAATTAATTTTTTTTATTACAATTAGGAATTTTACTAAATATAGACTCTCAATCTATGGTGTTAATCAACGTTTAAGTCTAAAAAATTAGGAATTTTTACCTTTTTTAATCAACGTTTAAGTCTAAAAAACAATAGAGTTATTATAAGTTTTTTCTACATCTTTTAAAACATTAAATATGAGCATGTTAGAGTTAGTTTGTAAAATAATTAATATATTATCTCACTAAAACATTTATACTAATAAAAATTTAATTTTAGCATATAAATTTATCCCTTGATATAAGAGAAAGTAACAGTTTTACTTATTGTTGTTCACCATATAATATTTAATTATTATTTTATTATATAATAAAAAAAAAATATTGTTAAATAGTGTAGTAGAATTGTTATAAAATTATATGATTTTTTTTTTTTTAACAATATGGATTTAATATTTTTTTATGATTTGATAATATAAACAAATCTATACTTAACTTTGACAAATAAAACAAATAAATACTTTAATAAGTATTTAATGTATATACTAAATAGGAATATATTTGGTATAATCAAATAAGTCAAAGTGTACATTTTTATTTGGTATTTGATTTTTTTATTATTAAAATCTTTTTATTATACTTATCTTTTTAAAATAAAATATTATAATACCAAAATAGTAATGACATTTAATGCAGTTAACTTTTCTGGATAGTAAATGTAGTAAATAGAATCTCCTTTTATATAAGTATAGATATGATATTATATTATGTTGCTCAAAATAGTAATGCATTTATTGCATTGACTTTTCAACTTACTAAATTTCGTAAATGGTACACCTTATTATATAAGTATAGATTGTATAATACGGAAACAGTAATGCAATAAATATTGTTGACTTTTCTTTATACTAAATCTGGTAAATGGTATACCTTTTAATATAAGTATAGATAAAAGCGTGCACCAAACAGGACGTTAGCGAAGGACACCCAATCCGAGGTAATCCAGCTGGCGCACAACCTAAAATTCCACGAGAAAATGACGAGAGGGCAATATGGAAATACTCAAAAGGTTCCCCCAGAATCTTGCTGCATGCTAGTTACAGAAGCTCTGCTTGCACCAGAGTTTGCTNATAAAAAGGACATCGTGCGAAAGGGAGTGGTCAAAATATTCTCTATAAGATAATTTATTTATTTTTTTAAAAAAATATTAATATTTTATGTTAGATGGTCTAACTATTAGATAAGTCGACATGTCATACTATCTATAATAAACTTATGGAGTAAGAATTAAAATCATATTCTATAAATGCACCACTCAAAAAATTTTTATCACAAAAAATTTCTATTTGAGACGGTATAATTAGGCAAGTTGACCTATCACACATATGTAACAAAAAATGTTTACTTAAACTTTGAGATGTCATATTTTTGTTAGGTCATTAAGCGTAATATTTTAATTTGAATGTATGCACATTTATTTAAAAAAATATGATTATCTAAGTATTCGTACTATTATAATCATGTTGTGTCTCATTTTGTGTTTAAATCAAACTTATTTTCGTAGGATCAATAAAGCTAGTATACAAATCTAATGTTTAGAAATCAATAAATATACATATTTTTAAATTAAAATATCATAATTTTAAAAATAAAATAGACATCTTATTTCGCAAGTATATATTTATTAAGAATAAAATAAATATATGAGTGATAGTTAGACTAGGTGATGACAAAATTCAAGGATTGATTTGCCATTTACTTTTTGATTAGTTGACTATCTCGTCAACTAGATTGGACTCGTACAAAAAGCTATATTCCAACTAAATGACACAATCCATATCCTTAACCTTAAAGCTTATGCAAAAACTATATTCCTTATAAATATAATTTGTTAATTGGTTGTTGCTTGTTGGAACAAAACACCAGACATTGACATTAGTGAATATCACATAGTCGGTACCTTCCCACTTAATCAATCCCTTGTCTCAATTTGCTCTCGTTTGATCATTTTCACAAACACTTTTTGAGCTTAATGTATGAATAAAGATTGAATCTTTTTTGCAGCAGTTTAACTCATTTGTTTCTTTTATTTGGTTTGCCCACTTTGTAAAAAGTGCTTTGAAAATGGAGGAAGGCGTGGCGTGCATGAATGGAAAGTGCCCATCATCAAACTCAGTATCTGAATGGAAAAAGGGCTGGCCTTTGCGATCGGGTGGCTTTGCTAAGCTCTGCGAAAATTGCGGGTATGAATGAACCATCTACCAATTTATCATCCCTTTTCTCATCTCATTTTTCTTTTCCTAACGAAAGATTTTATTTTATTTTTTTTTTTTTTTTTTTTTTTTTTTTTTTTTTTTTTTTTTTTTTTTTTTCCCATTGAAAACATATGCCAGTTCTATTTGAGGTTAATAAGGTTTGTTGTGAGGTTCTTGTTTTCTTTCCTTTTTATTTCAATCTGGTGTCCAATTTTTGGAGAAATTTGAGCTATTAGGTCACTCTTGTCTATTTTGGATTGATGTAGTAATCTTGTTGGGTGCTGGTTAGTTCAATATCTTGCCATATAAGCTGCATCTTTGTTTGGTTGCTTATAGCATGAAAAAATGGCTATCTAATATAGCATATTAGTTTGTGTCTATGATATTAGTTGATTTTCCACTGGGTTAAAATCTAAAGTATGCTCTTTTAAAAAAGCATTAGGAAGTTATTTGAGTATTAGACAGAACCATAAAGAGTTGTTGTATCATCTGATGACTGATAACATTTTATGGAGTAAATGAAATTAAAAAAAATAAAAAATTGAATCTTTCGAGTTATTAAACGACAGGACTGCCTATGAACAACTGACTTTCTGTGAAATGTTCCATTCGGAGGAAACCGGTTGGAGGGAGTGCACTTCATGTGGGAAGGTGAGTTCATAGTTCATACAGTTAACTGTTTTGCACATTTTCCTTCAGAATGTTAGTCTGCTTTTTTCTGAGTAAATCGTTGATTTTTTAAAATTTTTTTTTTCAATTTCAGAGTCTCCATTGTGGTTGCATTGCATCTAGTTCGTTGTTTGAGCTGATCGACACAGGTGGCGTGAATTGCAGAGGCTGCTCTAAATCTCCTTCTGAGGAAAGAGACAAAGCATGTGATCTTTCGGCAGAAAATGGCACCAACCAGGATTTCGAAACGATGGTCCCCCCAAAATCGAGCGATGATGCTACAAATTCAAAAAAACCCGAAAATGATTTTTCTGGCTCGGGCGAACAAAGAGGTTATAACTGGTTATCTACTTTTTATCAAGAAAATAAAGGCCCCGGAATTTTACACTCGTCGTTAGTCTCGACTGATTTGAGCATAAGCTTGTGTTCTCCTTCGTCAAATGCGAAACCGAGCACTGTAAGTTCTTCCTTTCAACTGTCGTGTAGGCCTCGCCAGCTCATACCGAGGCTACCGATTCCTGTTCTTGCAGCAGGTTTGGATACAAACCCGAATTCCATTCCACAGGTCCGTGTCGCGAGGCCACCTGTCGAAGGACGAATCAAGAATCAGCTGCTTCCACGTTATTGGCCTCAATTGACGGACCAGGAATTGCAGCAAATTTCGGGAGAGTATCCTAGATGATTTTACTGGTTATATTATGGGGTGTTAATTTTTTTTTTCTTAACTGTAGTTATTTTCTAGCTCGAACTCTAGGATTGTTCCGTTATTCGAGAAGGTTTTGAGTGCAAGTGATGCGGGTCGAATAGGTCGTCTAGTTCTACCTAAAGCATGCGCTGAAGTGAGTTGTTTTGTCATATCTCAACATTACAGTTTTTGCTGAGCTATCTTAGGGCGTGAATTTGAGGTTTACGGATAAATTCACCCGTGCAGGCGTATTTTCCTCCGATCTCTCATCCCGAAGGCCTTCCCCTAAGGATTCAAGATGTGAAGGGAAAAGAATGGCTTTTTCAGTTCCGGTTTTGGCCGAACAATAACAGCCGAATGTACGTTTTGGAAGGCGTGACTCCTTGCATCCAGTCGATGCAACTACAAGCTGGAGATACTGGTACTCTATCAACAATTCTTTTTCCTTGAATATTACATATAATTCTGAAAAAAAAAAAAAAATATTTGTCAGTTACTTTCAGCCGTATGGATCCGGGTGGAAAACTTCTGATGGGATTTCGAAAAGCATCGAACGCTACTTCTGCCCACAAGGTAAAAGCCAAGAACGAATTTTTCTGTACTGATCAAAGAACTTCTTTTCCTTCTAATAATTGTCATGCTTACACAAATATTTGATTTTTGACAATATTTTCACATGAAATCAAACTAAATATCAATGTTGGTTGGTTTGTTAAATGGTTCAGGATTTACAGTATTCCATACATAATGGTGTTTTTCAAGGTGAACTACTCTTGAGCAACTCGGAAAGTTACTGGGGATTTCGTCGCACGATGAGAGGGAGCAAAAATCCTTATTTGGGAAATGCATCTAAGTTAGTAGTAGAAAATCCAGTACCCCAATCGCTGCTTCTTCCCGAACGAAAAAGAAGAAATATTGGTCCAAAGAGTAAACGGCTGCTCATTGACGGTCACGATTCTTTGGAGCTGACACTTTCGTGGGAAGAAGTTCAGGATATGCTCTGCCCCCCGCCAAGTGTCAAGCCCAGCACTTTCTCGGTCGAGGATCATGAATTTGAAGAGTACGAAGTAAGAAATCATGAAAAAAAAAAAAAGTTACCATTTTGAGCTACGTACGAAGCTATATCTTTACGAGTCTTTGTTTTGTTTCGATGTTTTCTAATTTTTTTTACAGGAACCACCTGTTTTCGCGAAGAGGAGTATTTTCGTTGCTCGTGTATCTGGGTAAGATAGGAAAAGAAAAAAAAAACAGTCTTGTTTCGATTTCATTTTCTTTCGAGAAAGAGTGACAAAGCCTACGAAACCTGTCGAATTCAGGGAGCACGAGCAGTGGACTCAATGCGATAGTTGCTTCAAATGGCGAAAAGTGCCGATCGACATCCTTCTCCCTCCCAAGTGGACGTGCCACGATTATACAAGGTTTGGTTGAGCATTTATTCACTTCAAATACAAAGAGATTTTCGCTATTCCTTTAAAAAACAGTCGTGTTTCATGCTTCTTATAGTTATATACATATGCTTACATATCGAGCATTGCTGTTCTTTCTGTGTTAGATGCTCGTGTTGTGCACCCGATGAATTGAGCCCCAGCGAGCTCGAGTATCTGCTCAAAATGAACAAAGGTATATAAACGTATTGTCGTTAACTTCTTCTTTCGCTTTAATACGTTTATGACGTACATAAACACATACACCCATCAAATAGACTTGACGAAATCAAGAATCGGGCCAAGTCTCATCAAACCTGCACAAAACGAGCATGAAACTTCCGACACACAAAATCCGACAAACCCATCATTAGCCGAGACGGGCGAACGAGGCGCCACGTCATCGGCTGCGGCCACCACAAAGCACCCGAGGCACCGGGCGGGCTGCTCGTGCATCGTGTGCATACAGCCGCCGAGCGGCAAGGGAAAGCACCAGCCGAGTTGCGTGTGCAATGTTTGCTCGACCGTGAAACGCCGCTTCAAAACCCTCATGATGCGCAAGAAGAAACGCCAAGAGGCCGAGATCGCGCGTGGGGCCCAGCACACGGAGGCTTTGTTGAAGGGAGGTGGGTTGGATTTGAATTGCCATCCGAGCCGGGAGAATGTGGTCAGCATGACGAGCCTCGTACGAGAAGCTAGTTTGCCTCTCGAGGAGTATTTGAGGCAGCACGGGCTCACGAGCTTGGTATTGGAAGAGCGAGCACAACCGGTAGAGAATGCTGACATGGCTCAATCACAGGAGGAAGATCATGGTATTTCTGCTGCTGTGCAAGGACATGAAGAGGATGGTGATAATTTCTCTCAAAAGAAGAATGATTCTTGATTTTGCCTTTTTTTTTTTTTCATCTCCTTTTGTTGTATTTCCTTGATGATTCTCTGAGTTGACAGTAAAGTTCAAAATAAATGTAGAACCTTTTCAAGTCCAGAAATGAACACATATTAAGAATATACAGGAGTATTATTAAACTGGAATGCATTCATTGTTCTTTCCTCAACTGTAAGCCAAGCCAAATGACACATTCATTCATAACACTTAATACACTTTCATCCTAAAAATCGAACATTTAATAGTAAATATATTACAAGCTAGAAATAGAACAAGTATCAACATAAGGGCGCGCGGCACGACGAATCTCAACAGCACTTCCGAGCCACCCGAGCAAAAAAAACAAACTCTATACAAAAGAAACAAAACATATCATCTCTTATCTTCTATGTGAGATCCTCATTTCATCAAACTCAAGAAAGAAAAAGGAAAAAAAAAAAAGTTCAAAAAACTTACTCTACTAACTATCAAAATCTTTCACACTCAACCTACAAACGGTGGAGGAAGAAGAGAATCTACGGCTTTCCTGCCGATCACTTTCCTCTAATAACAGCGTATACGAACTCGATCTGGGAGGCAGAGCCAGTGGCAGCCCATGCGAGGGTGTAACAGACTTAGGTCTAGCCGAAGGAGGAGAAGGAGAAAGATTCGATCTTGTGGCCTTGGGCACAATCCCGTTTAGGCTGGGTGATCTGAACATCTGTTTGCCGCCAATTTTTCCCGGCTCCTGCAGAGGAAATCGAGACGCGTACTTCAAATCCTGTATGGTCTTGAGGTGCTCAACGATAACCCTCATCGTGGGCCTGTCAGAGGGGTCCGCTTGGAGACACCGTTGAGCAATATCAGCCACTGTCCGGGCAGCTCTGGCCGGAAAACGACCCTTCAGCTGAGATAAGGGACAACCTGCAATCATCCACCAGGAAAGGGCGACTCCATTTTACGAGATTCCTCTCTTCCTTGGAGTGCCGGCTGTCGAGGTTTTTCCGACCCGTGAGCAATTCGAGAAGCACAATCCCAAAACTCCACACGTTGCTCTTTGGTGTTAAAAGGCCCCTTTCAAGAGTCTCCACCGAAAGATTTGCCACAGCCTTAACATATACACAGGTATTGGTGATTTTATGTAAGAAACTTATTTATTTAACAGTATAACGTTAAAATCCAGAAATAGTTGGGTAAGAAAACTTACGACTGAGCTGCTGGAGATATCCGTCTCGGGAATGTGGCCGATGCAACCATAACCAGAAAGCTTTGCACTGAAATCCTTGTCAATCTGTATATTCGAGGTTGAGAAATCATGGAACATTGCCTGTACAGCAGTAAAAGCATAAGGTACTACAAAGTAAAAGCGAAATCCAACTTATGAGACAACATATGACTTTAATACCTGAATGGGTCCCTCCTCGTGCAGAAAGGTAAGACCTTGCGCGGTACACAGAGCAACTTTCATTCTGCAATTCCAGTCGAGCGGTGGACCATCAGATCTCCCATATAAAAGCCGATCGAGACTTCCATGAAATAGCCTCAATATTTGGCTGTACAAGGGTCATTTTAACATTTGTACATAAAAAACATTTTATTTCTTGATCAATGAGTTGAATCGATTAAAAAGAGGGGTTGTACCCAAAAGTAAGCCTCAATAATTGGTTGCACAAGGGTCATTACAACATTTGTACATTAAAAATTTTTTATTTCTTGATCAATGAGTTGGACGACTAGGAAGGTTGATGGATGCTTGTAATGTTTACAGTGTGGCACTAAAAAGAGGGGTTGTACCCAAGAGTAAGCCTCATTATTTGACTGTACAAGGGTCATTATAACACTTGTACATTAAAATCTCATAATACGAACCTTTAGGTATTTCCAGGTGATTGGTGCAGCTGTGATAAACAATGCTAATATGCTACAAACATGATGTTGCCGTTCATTCGGTTTCTCTCAACTTCATAGATTCAGAGAATAAGTTGGCAAGGGCAAATTTGTTCCACTATGTACAGCAAGTGTTCATCAATTACACACTTACATTATAACAAAACATAAAATTTCAAATCTGGTTCTCTCTTTCATGGAGTAGCTGTATGAGCATTTTACACGGGATCTAATGGACAGTTCTCAGATAATAATGGTAAAGAAGATGCCGGGGTTTCAAGAACCATAAAACACTCCTAGAAAATGGTATAAAAGTAGGCTATACACGGCTCGTGTACTGCCCAGTTCTTGTATCCACCAAGATTTCATCGCCAATGTTTATGAACAATGGGACTGTAACAACAGCACCAGTTTCAAGTGTAGCAGGCTTAGATCCTCCTGCAACAGAGTAGAAAAAAATAATGATCATTGAAAATACGACAGAAATTAGCCAAAAACATATGATGCATTCAATGTGAGAGAATCCCAACGATACCTTGAACTGTGTCGCCCTTTATACCTGGATCAACTTGAACCACAGTCAATTTCACTATGTTGGGGAGTTCAAAATCAATGATCTAAAGCAAAGTCAAACAGTTTCATAATTGAAAAATCAATATAACTACTAGAAGACAAGTTCGAGAAAATCAAACTTCAGAATAGCTCGGGAAAAACCGGTTCTCATTTGGAAATTAAAAAAACATTATCCCGTATGATAGTAACCTTATCCTTCCAGAACAGCAAATTGCAGTCCATGCCTTCTTTCAGCCACATTGATTTATCTCCAACATCAGACTCGTTGAGACGATATTCTTCATAGGTAGTCTGGAATATATATTATATAGACTAGTTAAAGCCGTCAACTGTTTAAAACTTCAGCAGTAAACCACGTGCTCTTGTCAGAATCAAGATTGATAGATATATTAATGAGCATCAGGAGAGATACACTAATGGAACTAATACACAGCTAACTAATCACAAGATATAAGCAATTCGACATCATCGTGTGAATTTGAAAGGGCAATATCTTTTTACCAAGTCCATGAAAACATACTGAGCGCCATCCTTATAACTGAATTGCTTGGTTTCCTTGAATATGTCGGCCTCTTCAATCTATCAACAGTAGAATAAAAGAAAATATATAAGTGTATGGCTTGTGTACTGTATGACAAAGCTTATCCCATCCAATATCAAGTTCACTAAAGATTGGAAATGCAAGGATCGACTAATTCTTCATGAAAATCTGTTTGTACCCTCAAAAATAATCAAGAACAAGTATCTTCATATCTGGATACATGTCAATTAAAAATTCCATGTACTTATCAAACTTAAGCATACTTGTTAATATGGATAGTGAAACTTCATTTTCGAAGTGGCACCCCTGCACGAGTGATCTGAATTCGTCAAATTGCATTCTAAACAGATACATAACACAAAGTAACTTAATCCAAATTCATGGCATGTTCCCAGGGCGTACATTAACAAATTTACCACACAGGCTAAACCAATTAACCAATTATAAATTTATGCCTTCTGTTTAGCTACTCATACAATACCTTGCTTCCAGCTCGAAAAGTCTTCTCAACTTGATTTCCAGTTACATAATTCCTCAACATTGTCCTGACAAACGCTGCCCCTTTCCCAGGTTTGACATGGAGGAACTCTGAACAATACCACAAATTTTTCAGCACAAACAAGTCCATAGCCCACATCACAAAGTCACGTCGAGCACACGGACATAAGAGCACATGTAACAGATAATTTAGGGAAGATATTTTCTATAGTTATCTTTGGTATCTAAATATTTGATTTGATATTATCCTATCTCTTGTAATCTCTATATATACTCTGAAAACTCATTTTACGGATCATCAAGCAAAAGAAAAGAAAACTCTTTTCTCCATGTCTCCTCTTACGATTTCAGCATGGTATTAGAGAGCTAAAATTCACCGCCGACGGCACACCTAATCTTATTTCACCATCACAGTGATTTTTTTTCTTTCTTTCATCATGTCATCTGGCACCAATCCCCCTTCAAATTACAAAACTATTTCACCATATGATATCACATCCAGTGACAATCCCGGATATGTGATTTCTACGGTTCTCTTAACAGGACAAAACTATATTGAATGGTCCTCATCGCTCCGGACGGCTCTCCGGGCCCGCAAAAAATTTGGTTTTCTTGATGGTTCCATCCCCATGCCGGCTACCGACTCTCCAATTCTCGAAGATTGGTTCGTCAATAACTCAATGCTCGTTTCATGGATAAAGAATACAGTTGATTCGACAATACGACCCTCCATACCTCAAATCGAGCTTGCCAAAGAATTATGGGATCATCTTCGTCGTCGTTTTTCCGTTGTTAACGGTACTCGAATTCAGCAATTAAAAGGAGAATTGGCTTCCACAGTCCAAAAAGGTACGACCATCAGTGCATATTATGGCAAGCTGCGAACATTATTTGATGAATTGAACTCATATCAACCGCAAATCACATGTACCTGTGGGCATGCCCAAGAATATGCAACCCGTAGAGATGCTGAAGAAACTCACCATTTTTTGTTGGGCCTGGATAGAGATGTGTATGGGTCGGCCCGCTCTAGTCTTTTGGCCCAAGATCCATTACCCTCTTTGGATAGGGTGTATTCGGTAATCTCACAGGAGGAAAGGTTGTCTTCTCCATCTGCTCCGACCGCCGACGTGATGAGCTTCGCCACCACCACGACACGACAATCATCTTCCCAGTCTTCTCGTTCCTCTCGCCATTGCACTCAATGTGGCCGATCTGGACATGAAGCCCCAAATTGCTTTCGGGTTAAACCCTGCCCTCACTGTAACCGCACAGGCCACAATCCCCGCCGCTGCTATGAGGTCGTTGGATATCCCGCAGGCTGGTCCGGCACGTCTTCTGCAGCTACTTCTACCGGCGCACCTCCGGCGGCGCAAGGGCGCTCCAACAGCGCCTCCTCTTCTTCGACTGGAAATGACCGCGGCCTGTTTCCCTCACATTCAGCAAAAGCGCACGCTACAAGTCTTATGGGGGCTAATTCTGTTGGGCCTGGTTTTGTTGGGCCTGGTATTAATTCTGTTAGTCCTTCTATTCAATTTGGTATTTATGGTACTAAATCTGTCCCGGCATCTACAGGTTTAAGTCCGGACCAATGGCAAGCATTAGTTAATCTTGTCCGCCCTAATAACTCTGAGACTACCGCTTCTAATCATTTAACTGGTAAGGATTATTCTCGTAATTGGATGATTGATTGTGGTGCTACACATCACATGACTGGATTTTTTCAGTGTCGTGTTGATATTTGTGATATTTCACCTCGACTAGTGCAGCTTCCTGATGTGCAATTGATTATTGCGACTAAAGCCGGCAAAGTTCGTCTTAGTCAAAATTTGGTCTTGCTCAATGTTCTATTTGTTCCTAGTCTTAAATGTAGTCTCATTTCATTATATCACTTGCTGGATGATCATGAGTGTATGTATAGCCCACTTCACTAATGTTGTCTGTCTGATATAGGACCGTACTACGAGGACGGTGATTGGTCAGGGTGAACAAAAGGGGGGTTATATTTTTTTCGTGATCCTATGAAGACGGTGACGGCTAAGGTATCTGTTGGCGGCTCTGTGGATTTGTGGCATCAACGATTGGGACACCCACCCCTGCAGGTTATTGGGAAACTTTGTAATTTCGCTCCTACTCATGTTAGTAGTTTTGACAATAAAGCTTGTGATGTATGTCTTCGTGCCAAGCATACTAGAGACTCATTTCCTTTAAGTGACAGTACTAGTTCGGAACCTTTTGCTTTAATTCATTGTGATTTATGGGGTCCAGGTCCCCTCGTTTTCTGGAGCTAGATATTTTTTGACAATCGTTGATGATTTTTCGTGGCTTTATTTGTTGGATGACAAAAGTTTTGTTTCTTCTACTTTAACTGGTTTTTTTCGCCATGGTGCAACGACAATTTAATAAATTGGTGAAAGTTGTTAGAAGCGATAATGGGACTGAATTTATGTGTCTCACTTCATATTTTCAACATAACGGTATTTTACATGAGACATCTTGTGTAGCTACTCCCAGCAGAATGGTCGGGTAGAACGCAAGCATCGACATATTCTCAATGTGGCGCGTGTTCTGCGTTTTTAAGCTAATTTGCCTATACGCTTTTGGGGACATTGTGTCTTGACTGCCGGATATTTAATCAACCGTACTCCCACTGCAATATTACATGGGAAAAGTCCCTATAAGGTTTTTTTTGGCACAGCACCCCCTCTTAAGCACCTTCGTGTCTTTGGATGTTTGTGCTACGTTCACAATTTGGATCGTTCGGGGATAAATTTGCTAGTCGTAGTAGGAAGTGTATTTTTGTGGGTTATCCTTTTGGGAAGAAGAAGGGCTGGTCAGTTTTTGATCTCGACACTCGAAAGTTTCTTGTTTCTCGAGATGTTAAGTTTTTTGAGGACCAGTTTCCTTTTTCTACGTCACCTGCTTCTGCGCCTGATTCTATACCACTTATTTCTCCTACACCCTAGCCTGCTACTGATGATGAGTCTTCCCATGTTCACGATTCTGAGCCGGTCACCTCTCTTGACCCAACATCTTTATCTCCCTCTGGGGCTACTGAGATCCGAGGGAGTTCTACTGAGCTCTTGGGACATGGTCATCGGACGAAGTTTCCTTCAGTCAGACTACGAGATCATGTCACTCTTCAGCCACTTCATCGTCCTCAGGTACACCTTATCCTTTAGCTCATTTTGTTGACAGTACTAATTTCTCATCTGCCCAAAAGACTTTCTTGGCAGCAATAGAGACCTCTGTCGAGCCGCGGAATTTTACCGAGGCCATGGCTGATTCAAATTGGCGTTCTGCTATGCAGTCTGAAATTCAAGCTCTTGAAAACAACCTCACTTGGACTCTTGTTCCCCTTCCTCCTGGTAAAAAGGCTATTGGATGTAAATGGGGTATCGTATTAAACACCGGCCTGACGGGTCTATTGAACACTATAAAGCTCGTCTGGTTATTCTTGGGAACAATCAGGTCGAGGGTGTTGACTATACTGAGACTTTTGCTCTGGTCGCAAAAATGGTGACTGTCCGAACTTTTCTCGCTGTTGCTGCTACCCGACAGTGGGAATTACATCAGATGGATGTTCACAATGCATTTCTGCACGGTGATCTTGATGAAGAGGTGTATATGAAATTGCCTCCTGGTTTTCGATCTGGGTCCTCTGATCTTGTTTGTCGTTTGAAACGGTTTCTATATGGTCTTAAGCAGGCTCCTCGATGCTGGATTGCGAAACTCACTACAACACTTTGACAATATGGCTTTCGTCAATCTTATGCCGATTATTCTCTTTTTACCTTGTGCCGTGATGGTGTTCAGCTGCACGTTCTCGTGTACGTCGATGATTTGATCATCTCCGATAATAACAGTGGCGCCGTTTCTTCCTTTAAGGCTTATTTAAGTCGTTGCTTTCATATGAAGGATCTTGGAATTTTGAAATATTTTCTAGGTTTGGAAGTAGCTCGCAATTCCTCTGGCATTTTTTTGTGCCAAAGGAAGTATGCTCTTGACATATTGTCAGAGGTTGGCTTTCTCAGGGCTAAGCCGACCTTCGTTCCACTTGAACATCCGCTTGTCACTGGTCCTCCATTCTCAGATCCACAGGCGTTTAGTTGGAAGACTTATTTATCTTGCTGTCACCCGACCGGACGACCGGACTTGTCTTATTCAGTCCATGTTTTGCCTCAGTTTATGCATAATCCTCTCCAGGCTCATTGGGATGCTGCTCTTCGGGTTGTGCGATATTTGAAAAGAAGTCCTGGTCAAGGCATTTTCTTCCGTGCTGATTCTGATTTACGTCTTACTGCTTGGTGTGACTCTGATTGGGCAGGTTGTCCTCTTACCCGTCGCTCTCTCACTGGTTGGATCATCCAACTCGGTTCATCGCCTATCTCCTGGAAAACAAAGAAGCAGCCTACTGTTTCTCGCTCTTCCGCCGAAGCAGAATATCGCTCCATGGCCTCTACCACTTACCACTTGTGAGCTGATATGGTTGAAATTCCTTTTGGGATGTTTTGGTGTTGATCATATGTCTCCAATTTCTCTCTATTGTGACAGCAAGGCAGCCTTGCATATTGCCTCTAATCAAGTGTTTCATGAGCGTACTAAGCACATTCAGATTGACTGTCTTTTATTCGTGACGCGCTGTCTATTTATGTTTCTACCACGACCCCAGCTAGCAGATATTTTTACTAAGGCCTTGGGTGCACGGGAATTCACGTATTTTCTTAGCAAGTTGGGCATTCGGGATCTTCATGCTCCAACTTGAGGGAGGTGTAACAGATAATTTAGGGAAGATATTTTCTATAGTTATCTTTGGTATCTAAATATTTGATTTGATATTATCCTATCTCTTGTAATCTCTATATGTACTCTAAAAACTAATTTTACGGATCATCAAGCAAAAGAAAAGAAAACTCTTTCTTCTCCATGTCTCCTCTTACGATTTCAGCAATTCAACTGAAAGCTCCGAGCTTTGAGGTGCTCGTTATAGCATCTCAGCCTTACGATTCCAATAATTCCTCAACACCGCAGTTCAGTCCACTCAAACATACAACTAAATCCAAATGAAATTCCCAAAAAAAAAAAGGGAGAAAGAACAAGAAACACATAGTAAGAGGGCAAAGTTGAGAGGAAATACCAATAACCTTCCATGGGTTCCCGTCAACTTCAATGTTGAGGCCCACCTTTATATCATTGCTTGTTAAAGCGTATATCTCTGCAACAAAGAAGGGCAGCCCAGTTCAAAACGCAACCGCCCATTTGCTAATGGAGGCGAGCGGAAAAATCAACGACTTACTGTGGAAAGTTGAGGGTCGGGTTGTTGTAAATTTTAGCCGAGGGACTTGAAATGGGTTTGAACGTTGGGGAAGGGCGGAAGACGGTAGCCGGAAACACGGGCATTTGAAAGCGTAGATTCCTGCCATGGCCGGGATCGGATGATTGATCAGATGCTTAGGGCGTGATTGTTTATGAAATATTTCATTCAAAATGAGTTATTTTAGTTAACTAGAGTTAATTTTGAAAAAGATAGTATGGTTAATTGTTAGTGGGATATAAATGATTGGAAATGATTATTAATGATTTGATGTAAAAGTAGAATATAAATGATTGGAAATGATAGGTAGTTAAAATTATGTGAGTGGATGAATAGTGAATTAAAGTTGATGTGATATGTAAGAATGATTGGTTTATATTATTTAATTATATAAATAATATAAATGATAGTGGGGTTGAGTTAAAGTTGAGTTAGATTTTGAGTGGGAAATGAATTATTTCATAAACAAGCATGCCCTTAG